GTCCACATAGTGACCTCAAAACCAGCCCAGGATACACAAGAAGATGTTTCAACAAAACAAAAACTCCACAGGGTGAGTGAGATGAGTTAGCTGGTAAAAGTATTTGTCAAGCAAGTCTGAGAGTGATTTGCTGAAACCCATGGTAAGACAGAACTGACTCCAAAAAATTGTCCAACGACCTCCACAGTCCAACCATACTCATACACATGAATTTCTTTAATTAACAAACAAACAAAAAAAAAAGAGTATGGGGGGTGGCTCATTTGTTAAGAATAAAGAAAAAATACTACTCCTGCAGAAGATCTGACTGAGTTCAGTTCCCAGAATCCATGTTTGATAGTTCACAAGTTTCTAATGCCTCTGGCACCTGCGCTCATGTGCACATAACAACACACACATATATACACACATTAAAGATAAATCTTTTTTTCTTTTCTTTCTTTCTTTTTTTTGAGAGAAAGTTTCTCTGTGTAACCCTGGCTGTCCTGGAACTCACTTTGTAGATAGCCCAGGCTGGCCTCAAATTTGGAGATATGCCTGCCTCTGCCTCCTGAGTGCTGGGATTAAAGACAAATGCCACCACCAACCAGCTTAAAGAAAAATCTTAAACTGAACATTGAGATACATGTCTTTAACTCCAACACTCACAAAGCAGGGGCCATCTTTGGTCTACACGGCGAGTTCTAGGACAGCCAAGGCTACTGGTCAAAATCAGGTAAAATGATTCTTAATAGACTATCATAGATGTCTTACTTAGAAAGCTGAACTCTAGCTCCTGCTCAAAGTCATTTTAGTGCCACACCTAAGAACTGACTAGTTTTAAAAGCCAAATAAAATCAGAATGTTTTGTTTATAAAATTAAAGATACAGAAAAATTTGCAAATGAAAACAGAACTACTGAATTTATTTGAAAATAAATACACAGTGGAAGGTAGAGAGAGTACTATGTAGGTAAGCTCAGCGGTGGATGACTACCCAGCATGTGCAGAGTTCACAAGAGGAGAAAGATGCCTTGCAAATAAATTGACTAGTGAGTACCTAAGATGCTTTCACTATTCTATTTTTGTGCAACTGGAAATTCTGTGATGTCTTTTTGTTTTTTTTTTTTTCAATTAAAGGCTAAAGTATTTTATGAACTCAAAACTTTCCCTGGAGTTCTTAGGCAGTCTGTAATTCTTTCTGCTCTTTCCCTCACCTATTAGGCATCTGTTTAGAAAATGGCAACCATTTTTTTAAATTAATGTACTCACTTTTATTTCGAGCATGAGTATGTGCACATGAGTGTATAAAGGTCAGAAGTCAACTTGGAGTTAGTTCTCTCCTTCCACTATGTGGTTCCCAGAGATCAAATTCAGGTTTTTAGGCATTTCCATCTAGCCATCTCTCTAGCCCAACCACCATTCTGTTTTATCATGACTTCATCTTGAATTTCCTCTTTAAATTAAAGAGGTGTGGGACAATCGTCTATATTCTGTCAATTATATTTTAAATAAATGCTGATTCATCAGTAGCCAGACAAGAAGTAGAGGTGCGTCAATGAAACAGGAGAATTCTGGGAAGGAGGAATCCCATTCCTCTGCAGTCCTGCCCAGACACAGAAGAAGGAAGATGTCACTGCCTCACTGAAAAAGGTACCAAGCCATGTGGCTAACATAGATAAGAATAATGGGTTAATGTAAGTTATAAGAGTTAATAAGAAGCCTGAGCTAATGGGCCAATCAGTTTATGATTAATGTAGACCTCTGTGTGATTTCTTTTGGGACTAAACAGCTGGGGAACTGGGCAGGACAGAAACTTAGTCAACACATAATTTTCAAAAGTACTACTCATTAAAAAATATTTAAAACAATGAATTATAGTATCAAAACTTAATCACATAGTTCTCTACAGGAAAAAAAAAAGATGCACTTAATATTACTATTAGAAAAAAACAATAAAACCCTAAGAATGCATAAGCTTTTCTCACTAGTGTGATGTAATTTCACAGCAGAAACTGGTGTGATTGAACAACTATCTCACTGAAAGATAGTACAGAACTTAAACCTTTGCACTTTGAACAAGCTGTTGATAAAACATTTAATAGCTTTCTGAGTGAAAGTAAAGGCACTGACAATAAGACAAACAGATGCAAAAAAAAACCCCCAGAAAATCCTAAAAGTTTAGACAAAGAAGCAATGAAAAGAAAATCTATAAAGCTCAATATATTAACTTCTACATGGTTTGTAAAAATAATTTATCTACACATGTAGGATAGGTTAAGACCACCAAAAAATTAAAAGACTTCCTCAAAGTTTGCTTCTTTCCGTATAGGAGTTGCTAGAGTTTACAGCTTCAGAAAGCCAATAAAAAGAAAAAACTCATACTGTTATAGTTTTCCCTTCACACTAAGTGTGTTTTTGCTTTTTTGTTGTTGGTGGGTTTTTGTTTTTGTTTTTGTTTTTTGAGACAGGGATTCTCTGTAACAGTACTGCACAGAGATTCACATGCCCCTGCCTCCTAACTGATGGGATTAAAGCGTGTACCACCACCACCACCCAGGTAGGTGTGCCTTTGTAATAAAAAAAACAAAGTCAGATTTTTTTTTCTTGAATATGTTTATCTGTATTTTAGTATATATTTTCTTCTCAAAATTCATTATAATGGAACATGAATACAGGATCAATACTAGTACTACAACTTAGCAACACTGGAGTGGGAAGCTATACCAACCCACAGAAAACTGCACTTTCAGTTTCTAGCAAATTCCAACAGTAATTTGGACCTATGTAAAGATTCATCATCACCAAAGGGACATAAGCAATTAATTACCTCCTATGAATGCTCCTACCCCCTTATTAAACATTTATTTTTTTTCTCAACCCTCTGCCACCAAGGCCGTTTCCACCATTGGGTGCCCTATATTCCAAAACAGTATTCTTGGTCTTCCATGGCAACTTTAACAACTTGCCACCTTCCTCTTCCATCTCCAGGCTACCTGCCTCATATGTTAAACAACTAACAGAAATCCACAAGAAATGACGGTAAGAATACCACACACTTCAAAATGAACAGTATTCTCAGAGCCCAGGCCAAATCTGAACAAATAGTAGGGTCAACAATATACTGATAAATCTCATTTGGTGTTTAAGAGCACTGGCTGCTCTTGAAGAGGACCTGGGTTCAATTTCAAGCACACACATGGTGGCTCCCAATTGTCTGTAACTCCCAATTCTAGGGGTTCAGATGCCCTCTTCTGACTTTGGTGGGCAGCAGGAATGCATGTGGTATGCATACATAAATGCTGGCAAAACCATATAAAAAATTTTTTAAAAATTTTAAAAATCTCATTCTGATTTTGCCACTAGCTTATCTTTAAAAAATTTTAAAAGCTAACCTGGAAACAGTTTTAGGCTGCTTTTGTCTTGCTTATTTTATCTTTTTAATGATAATCTAAGCTTAAGAACAATGCTTCAGGAGAAATATGAACAAAGTAACAACCAAATGAGTATTAACCCAGAGATCAAGGGAATGACAACAGCTGGCTCACCAAAGGTGAGAAAAAGTGGGGAAAATGTTAAGCATTTTTAGCATAACTATGCAAGTCATCCTCCATTATACTATTTGATGTGCCTTACACTAAGTCTACCAAATTCATTGTGGATCACAGTACTAGCATTTCTATTTATTTCCTTCAAAATGTGGCCATCACTAAAATTCGTGAAAACGATAGAGACCTAAAGACAATTTTTAACTGTAATAGCCATCCTTAACCTATTGCTGACAGAATGCCTGCACAATTCAAATTATATCATACTTTCACCACATCTTAAATATTCATTTAGTTAACTCCATCTATATCATTCACTAAGTCTCAAACATCTCACAGAAGACTGAAGTAATATTGGCCCAAACACTTAAAAGTTAATCTCAGTTTATGTAACACTCCATGTCTCTATTCAATATTTTTGGAACTACTTTTAAGAGAAAACTCTAATTATCCTCAATGTAACTTACCATCTTGTCATTATCAGTAGCCAACCAATCTATAATAATACAAAACACTATCCAACAAATACAAGGTAAGAAAGACTTCTCAAAATTTACCAAGTAACGAGTCTCTAAGAAGTTATTTGGATTAAAAATTCAACCCAACTGAATTCTTTAAAGTTTTAAAAATCTTTGTAAGGGGGACTGGAGAGATGGCTCAATAGTTAAGAGCACTGGTTACTCTTCCACAGGACCCAGGTTCAATTCCCAGTACCCACATGGCAACTCACAACTGTCTGCAACTCCAGTTCCCTGGGATCTAACACCTTCACACCAATGCATATAAAATAAAGTTAAAATAAATTCCTTTTTAAAAAAATCTTTAATGGCCGGGCAGTGGTGGCGCACGCCTTTAATCCCAGCACTCAGGAGGTAGAGGCAGGCGGATCTCTGTGAGTTTGAGGCCAGCCTGGTCTACAAAAGCTAGTTCCAGGACACGCACCAAAGCTACAGAGAAACCTTGCCTCGAAAAAAAAAATCTTTTAAGGGGGCTGAGCACAGCTGCCCTTCCAGAGGACCCGGGTTCAGTTTCCAGCACCACGTGACAGCTAACTACAGCAGCTCCTTTTCTAGTCTGTGAGGGCACCAAGCATGCACAGCAAAGATATTATTATGCAGGCAAAACATCCATACATATAAAATAAAAATAAATTTAAAAAAAAAACCTTACCAATAGCCCCTATTGATCATAAATGAAGGGGAGAAAACAAGTAATAACACACAAGTGTGCATGCACACACACCTTTTAAGATGCCAGTAACATGTCTTAGCAGGGGTGCTTACCATGCAAGCCTGGCAACCTGAATTTGATCTCTGGAACCCACCGAAACAAGGAAAGAAACAACTATACAAAGTTGTCCTCTAATTTCCAAACACATGCATACACACACAAACAATAAATTAAATTAAAATCTTATTATCACATAATGGTTTATAAATAGCTCTCATGGCTTATAAAGAACATCAAAACTTACCTGAAGTTATTAATTTAGCACAACTACTTTTGTTTCCATGGTCTTCCGAGATTCTATTTGTGTTCTTTTCTTTCCCAATCAAAGTATCCTCCATAAGTAAGCATCTATCAGAAGTAAAACTGTCTTCACCCACCATATGACTAAATTTGCTATTAGCTTCAAGTACAGAAGTGACTTCTTCAAGCTGAGCAGCATCACTAGATTCTGAGTAAGAGGAGCCCTTACCCTGGGGTAAATTTTTGGAAGAAACAGGTAGAGACTCGTCATCACTATCAAAACCAAAAGGATCTCCAGTATCTTCTTCTTCTACTTTAGGTTTCTTCGGAATTTCTTGGATATCTGGTTTAAAATTGGGCCTCTTCTGCCCTAATTTAGCCATAAATGTCGTCTCTCCCCATTTTGTACTAAGAGTAGTCCGTTTGTTGGAAAAAACTTCATCAAATTTTGAACTGCCATTTCCTCCTTTCCTACTGTAAGTTTTTCCAAATCTGGATGTCATTTTGACACCTGTTTCATATTCCCTGTGGAAAGAAATTTAAGAAAATATAATCACCAATCTCTTAAGTTTTAAGCATTTTATAAAAATAAGATCCTAGGACTTGCTTTTACACTAGTTTAAATGAGTAAGTTGAAGAGGCTTGTTTTCCATCCTATACTTCCATCCATCAGGCTTGGTGGTGTTTTGGTTTGTTTTATAATAAGTACATACTCATATGAAACTTACAGAGTAAAAAAGTTTACTAACCAACTTGTAATGCAGTATCTACAAATCTAACTTAAGACATTTCTCAAGTTCCAAATGAACTATTCTTAATACACAATTTAACCAAAAAATAATAGTAATAATCTCAATAGAGTACCCAAATACAAAATCATTAACCACAACATATTAAGTTTTCCAGGATCTAAACGATGTCAACTGACTAATTTTAGTTCTTTGAAATTGTACTGCTCATCATATAAAGGGTCAGAAAACTGCTATTTTCTCATCTACTACAATCTTGTAACTTCTACCTCACCTTAAAGACTCTGATTTTTGGACTAGTGTCATTTGAACTGACTTTTAAAAACGTTCTTTTAGTGGGTCATTTCCCTAAATTCAAGAATTCATTCATCTCATCTTCCTTATCGCTATAGTGCTGCGTTCATTTGCTGAGTGACATTTTTCCATTTTACAAAGACACACAATTTATTATTATAAAAATAGAAATAAACCAGGTGGTGATGGCACATGCCTTTAATCTCCCACTTGGGAGGCAGGCAGACCTCTGAATCTGAGGTCAGCCTGGTCTACAAAGTGAGTTCCAGGATAGCCAGAGCTATACAGAGGAACCCTGTCTCAAAAAATCAAAATAAATAAACAAAAAGAATAAAAAATAAAAAAATAGAAATACATAGCTTTTATTTTCCTATTCAATTTACAAACAAATCAATCTACTTGATTTACCTAAAAATATACTGGAAAAAAATTTTCAAGTGAAGTCAAAGGTCAAACATTTTAAAACTACAAGTTATGGTACTTTTACAGCACAATCAATCCTTATCCATTTCTTAACACTTTGACCTGCAGTTTAAATATCAATTTATCAATTCTGGGGGGTGGTAAGCAATGCTTAAGCTCTTGAAAAATCTTCATTACTTTGAAACTTATGATGGGAATAATATTTAACTTATGCTTTCAAATGTTTTCCATCTACACCTTTAATATTTTTATTAAGTTCTTACAACTTAATGAATCACTATTCAATTCAGTTCAGCAAATATTCATAAAAGACTCACCCCCACCGCACAACTAATGTTTGAAACCAATTCTGATTGTTCAAAATAATAATTTAGTCATCATACACATCTGGACTAAGAGAAAATTTAGCTTTCCTCAGAGAATTTCCATTTTGTAGTATGGAACACTAACAAGCTTTATTGTCGTTCTTGTTAAACAAAACAAAGTATTGGGCAGCTACCAAAGTCAAGAAAATAAAGTCATGTCTTTAAGCTGTGATCTGCAGTCCTACATTGCTCTATTCCAACAAAACTGGAACGCTTTGGACACACATACATGGCAATCATCTAAAAATGCTGACTAAAGGTCAAACCAAAAATCTAGACTTGATCTCCTCTATGGCAACATCTGAAAATTCTCCGTAAAAACAGTCAAAACCACAAAGCATTCATTCACTGTTCAAAGTTTAAGGTCTGCAAATGAGTATTTGATACTGAGTCAAGTGATAAGACAACTGAGAGCGTGTCTCACAAATACACACTGATGTATTATAACATCATTAAATACTGAAGAAATAACATCAGTGGCTTTTTAATATTAAGCACTGGGAAACGTGTAGATGAGGCAAATATGGCTGAGTTACTGTCTACTGAATCCAGTAGAGATGAATACAAGAGAGTTCATTGTACGATTGTTTTTATTGTTTTCTATAACTCCCATTAAAAAAAAAGTCAGCAGACTCCTGTGATGGCATTATCTAAGCATAGCACATGTACAAATTCCGGAGTGGACATATCTGGCATGACATTTTACACACGTCAGACAAACTACCTTGTTCAGGCTCCAAACTTCACCAACAGTCCTAACTAAATAGCAAAGGAGGGGTCACAACTAAGTGTTTTCCGATCTTTGGGTCTCTGCCCAAAGCCCAGTCGGCTTCTGAGGAAAGGGTGCAGGGATTCAAATTAGGGAAGGGGGGTTCTCACACTTAAATTGCAGAGAAACCTAGCCTCTCTCACGCCCCCAAAGTGCATAAGGGGCTTCCATTAAGCGAGGAACGTGGAAGGGGGAAATGGGAGGAAGCAAGAATTCTCACCTCGGGCGGCGAGTGCGCCCGGGGCTGGAACTCAGACACCCCTCCAGCTGGACGCTCACGCAACTTTTCTCCTCCCAACCCCCACCGCCCAGGAAAGGGATGTCGCTTCGGACGCCCCGGAAGCTTCTGCCACCGAGTCCCCGAAGCAAGGCCTCGGTGACGGCTAGAGGCGGTGGAAAACTACGGAGCAAAGAATTCGGGACTGAAACCAACCGGACCACGTTCGGAACAGAGGAGTCAATCAGCCGGCCGCCCGGAAAAAGAACTCAAACGGGAAATTAAGAGGTGGAAGGGGAAAGAGTTCTTCAGATCGGTCAGTGCCGAACTTCCTTAGGAGCCAGGTGAGCAGCGAGACTCGCACCGCCCCTGCCTCCTCCACCCAGCCCGGCTCACTCCGGGCCTAAGCAGCCGCCCGAGACCTCACTTACCCTCGGCGCCTGGCGGGTGCTTTGGCCTCGGGCCGCCTCCGCCTCCCCCGCTCCCAACGGCCCACGGGCGGGCGCGGGAGCCCCGCGCGGGAGAACAGTGCCGACCGGTGCGCCCGAAGAGGCGAGGGGGTTCTGCTGCCGTCACAGCCAGCGGCTCCGCTTCGGTAAATAGGAAGCCCGGTCGAGGAGGGGGGGAGGAGCGGCGGCTCCGCAACTTCCCTCCCCAGCTTAGGCGCGCCGGCCGGGCAGAGCCTAGGCCTCCCTGACGGCCGCCGCCGGTGCC